TTTTAATACTTCATCTATTGATCTGCCATCCTTACCTAGTACTCGTTTCCTAACGACAGCATTGATTACTCGGTTGTCCCACGATATACAAGCAATGCTTCTTAAACATCTGTGATCGAATACTAGTAACCTACGAACATCTTCTACTCTTAACGGCCATGTTTCGCATCCGCACAGGAGAACGGAGCGAACGGCTGCGCAGTACACCCGTCCTTTGGTTAGCGAACGGATATCACGCCTACGCCATAAGTGACGCATGTTGGCAAAAGCAATCGAGTTTTCTCTGTATCCGAGCTGAGAGTTCGTCAGTCACCAGGCTATCAGCCCTGATGAGACTCCCCAGATAAGTGAAGTATTCAACACGCTCGACTACTTCACTCCCTATCACTAGTTCAGGTACGGATATGAAAAGCAAACGACACTTTGTATTCGTCTTCTGATGTATACACTGTTGAGCGTTATCTAGTACCGATTATCAGGCCGAACAATATATGAAGTTTAGGGAATTAAAATCGAATATCCACCGACTCGATGCGAAGATATTCAGTTAATAAGTTTCATACATAATAATATCAACTTATAGAATAATGATAAAAGCATCTCTGAGAAGTTATTATATATTTTTTACTTATAAAAATAAGGCAAAGCAATCAAAGTACAACAACACTACAACAAACTTATGGAAAAGATTTGATGTTTTGAGACAGGAAACAATTTTTTAAGGAGTTTTAAACAAATTTCAGTTTAAAAATATCAAATATTATCAATCATCATTAAATTTTTCATATTCTCCTATGTTCGCTAGCCATGTAACACTCTTCCCCAAATGTCAATCGAGTCAATCAGCGTCATCTCTATTGATAGTTACAATGTCTTATGAAAGTATAATAGCCGGTCAATTTCAAAGCAGCTGACCATCAGTAAGAGATTCGAAGGAGAGTCACTAACAATGTGCTACTGTAATTAACAGTATATATAATAGGTAAAGTAGTTGATGACAGTCACCTTTTGGAATAGCTGTAGGAATGGCCATTGCCACTTCGTGAAATGTATTCACATCTATTATCCAGTATTTTTCTACTAACTAGTAATACCTAACTTAGAGGAATAATTATATATTGCTATTTATATAGTTAGAAGTTATATTTCATTGATCTTATAACCAAGTAATTCACTAAAAAAGCCGAGCGTAAAGCAACAATATTTACTATATATTTCCTGCTAGTAGAAACTTCATGAGAATCAATATTTTTAAAACGTTTCTCATGGGAATTACAGTTGATCTGATTAAGGCATGTCTGTTAAGGACAAGATGTGTTTAACTTAAATTCATTTGCTGAAATAGAACTGACTATATAACAAAATGAATGGTTTTTGATTCGACAGAAATGACAGTGGTGTTAGTGGTATCAACGCTCAATGCAAGCAATATATTTGTCTAATTAATTAAAAATTTAGTCTAAAATCAGTTGGTGGGATAAAGTCTGACATTTATTCATGAAATGTTTTCTTTTCTAGTTAAGGATTCTACATATCCTTTTCATGTTGTACCAAAAGGTTGTACGCTTCCGGTGACCAGACCATTATAGTTATTCATACTTCCGATAATTTGGGTTTCAGTACTTTACATGATGTCAAGATCTTAAAAAAATCAGCTTGATCGTTCTGGAAATGTTTTACAAACAATATTACAAGAATTTACACATTGAACAATCTTAAGGTGTTTGGATTTGCTGTTAAACGTAGAAACTTTATCAATGTATGAGGTGACAATGTTATCAGTTCATTACGTATGTTACATTATTTTGTCTCTATTCTTGACGCGAGACTTGTGTGAATTCACGTAGCTAAATGAAATCTTTCTCAATTAAAATCAATATCCTAAATAAATTTTATATTCTTAGTGGTTGTGAAGGAAACGACAGACACTGACAAATAATAGAGGCTTATTTTGGACGCATTGATGTGATTGATTCAAAGCCTGTTACATACTGGTATCTATTTTAGTTCCTATCTTCCTCTGAAAATTTTCAGCTTGATTGATGTATGACTCTTTGTCATACTCTTTTATACTATAAAATCATTGTGACTTAGACAGAATCTACATACTCTGTTTTTTCTACCCTGAGCGGCTAGCTTCGGCATAATTGTGCTTTCTAAACTGTTGTACGTTGTTATTTTGCAAATGATACATTTTTATTCATGTTTCTTTTCCAAAAATTGAATTGGAAATAAATCAAATAGTGTTCCAGTTGATTAGTTTTCTCTATCTTCCACATGCTAGCCAATCCAGTGGTGATAGAATAGTTTTTGTTGCTCAGCCAAGGCTGTTTAGTCATAACCTAACTCATGTACTGCTAGTCTCAGGGTTAGCTGGATAATGTTTCACGTTACGGACTTTAAACTGTATTCAGAAAAAAATTATTTATAATTAATGGCAGACGTTTAAGGCTGTAACAAAACGTTTGTGTACTCTCTACTTTCTTGGAAATCCTAGTAAAAAAGAGATGCTCTAAAAGGTTATATGTTTATAAATGATACTTAAGATATCACATATAGCGATTCTAAAACTTACCAAGTAGCTTGCCAACTTCTTGTTGTGCTCGTTTGGTTCTATCATCTGCTTCAATTCCTAAACGCTCTCCGCTTTCTCGTATATGTTCAGCTTTCTTCCTTGCTTGCTCCGAATTTGTCAGTTGATTTACGTTGTCCTTATTCCAATCGGCCAATGTATATCTTGTGCATAAGGCGTTGCGTGCAGCTGAGTATACGGAAGGAACTCTCAAACCTTCCAGTTCATGCAAATCTAGCCAACCCCCACTAGCGTTAACCATAGGACCCAGTTGCGCAGACTTAGCACCATCGATATAAGATAAACGGTCAGATGAAAAATAAGACTGAGGACGCCAAGGTGCAAATGACTTAGTGTTCCTATGTGTGTAAATAGCTGGATAACTACCTTCCGTTATATTTTCAAATCTTCCTGTAGATCCCGATGACTGTAAAAGATCTGGTAAATTTGACGCACTGTGACTATGTTGAATTGGTCTTTGGAAATAACGTTCTGTCATTAACTCCATCTGTAAATAATTCGTTAACAAGATAAATGACATGACTATTATCGATTACGTATTCTTATTTTCCAAAAGATAACTGAACACTGTTATTTAAACTAGATAGTATTGTATAGAAAATAACCAAAATCCGCATAGACTTACGTAGACTTTAGTACAAAATTTTGAGGGAGTCAACATATTTACATTTAGCAATGTCTAGCGTTTGCTCTACTAATGTATCTTACAATTCACCTATGGCTTAATTGATTCATGAGAAAGTTTGTTTGGGAAAGAAGATTAAACACATCGTTGCCTAAAGTCATGAGGTATTTAGTGCCCCCAATGAAGCAAACCAGATAATTCTCACTAACGTTACGGAAGCCTACATAACGTACCTAAATCTTATCAAAAAATCTATATTGGAACCAATATTTGACATAGATTGGCAAAGTAACTACCGAATGAGGTTAATGCTTTCGTGATAATTTGTAACACAGTAGGAATGTTCAGAATTGAAGCAAGTTGTTGTTTATCTTTGCTCGAAAGTCATTTTTGACGAGTTTTAGAAGCTTCAAGCAGCTGGTCTGTTACTAAATTTATGATATTATATTGCAGCGTTAGATATTTTCACACTATGTTCACTAAACAGTTTTATTTCCAAGTGAATCACTGTAGGTCTTTAATCAAAATCAATGAACTTTCTAAAAAATTAGCTAAGCAAGGGTGCAAAAAGAGAAAACCGGGTTAGATTAAAATGCAAACCTAAGAGGAATATAATCCAATCGTAAATAATTTCATGTACCTATTTATGTTGAAACTGATAGCAAAATAACCAAATCAAATAAATAAAAACACAAGTTGTTTAAAGTCGCATATCAACCACAGGGCTAATTCAACATGGAAATTAAAGCCTCAATTCGCTTGTTTCAAAGTTAGTTAGAAAACAAGGAGTTAGTAAATTACGGAACCGTAATTTGTTAGCCTTACCAAAGCAATAAGAGACGATCAAAGGAAACAATTTGTCTATAATAGCTCGTAAAAAATACTGGAACGGCCTCTGAACATATTCTCCATACGATAATGCGTGTTATCGTCTAAATCTCTTATAATACAGAAAAAACTTGGCCATAATTACTACTCAAACCTGACTTTGATGATAATGTGATTGAAAGCTTGTCCGTTATGATTCACTTCAATTATGACGAGCAAATTGCGCATCTCTGACACTTGAAGCTTCCAAAAAAAAACACTTTTTTACATAGTTCTGATAAACGTAGTATTAGACACTATGTTATCACTGGGACGATAAATATTAAAACATCAGAAAACATTGTTGTCTAGTAGATAATGCAAACTAATGATTAAGAACTCTCTCATAGTATGTTATTATTAGTATGAATTAGATAAAAAAGTAATTTTTAATCTCTAATACAAATTGAAGTCTGGCATATTTAAATCATCCAAATTTCGAAAATATCATAATTATAGAATTGTTTAGGCCACGCACTAAAAAAATACTAATAAGGATAATATGACGCTACATATTAACTGTACAAGTACAATTAAACGCACAATGAACGTTTGAAAATGAGACTAAATAACTAGTCCGGCTTTATTGCTCTAGCAACCAATAGATATGACCTTCAGCATTCAACATCCAATATCTTTTTCGTTCTCCCTTTATTCTCTCAGTACGAGTTTATGTATTTCGCGAAGCCCTTTGGATGGTAAACCAGCCAATCGACTACTTTAATTGTACTCATTTGGCAGTTATCTATGAATATGTTTGTCCCATGATTCGAATTAGTGCTCGTGTTGCATGGCAGTAGGATTAATGGAAACCAGCAGCTATGACAACTCCGCCAGTAGAACCTTAGGGGCTACTGCCTGTCCCAAGCCCGGATAAAGGAGGAGGGTTGGGCATAGGGTTGACGATCCCATCCCACCAAAAAACTAACTTGCCAAAAAAACGCTAACCAGAAAAAATAATTCAAACCATTTTAACTCTGCCCTGGGAGTTGGAAGAAGAATTATGACGTCTCGTGATAAAAGCCGAGTTCCCTAGGAAGTCACGAGGCCGATGCCACTTCTGACAACCAGAGCAACCATTCTTTTAGGTACATGGAACGTTCGTACACTGTGGGAGACTGGAAGACTATTTCAAGTTGCGGCAGAAATGAAAAGATACAACCCGGAAGTGCTTGGAATTAGTGAAACGCATTGGACACAGGTAGGACAACTGAGACTAGCTTCAGGGGAACTGCTGTTATACTCTGGTCATGAAGAGGAAAATGCTTCACATACACAAGGAGTTGCACTGATGCTGTCCAAACATGCACAAAAAGCACTGATAGGTTGGGAAATCTCATGGACCCAGGATCATTAAAGCATCCTTCAAAACAAAGAAAGGGGACATTATAATGAACGTCATCCAATGTTATGCACCTACCAATGACTACAATGATAACGTTAAAGATCAATTCTACGAAAGGCTGCAGTCAATTGTCGAGAAATGTTCACCAAAGGATTTGACAATTCTTATGGGAGACCTAAATGCAAAAGATGGTATGGGCAACACTGTATATGAAGACATCATGGAACGAAATGGACTGGGAGAAAGAAACCAAAACGGTGAGAGATTTGCAAACCTATGTGCCTTCAACAAACTGGTCATAGGTGGCACAATATTTCCACACAAGCGCATACCCAAGGCCATATGTGTTTCACCGTATCACACTACTCAGAACCAAATCGATCATATCTGTGTCAGTAAAAAGTTCGGAAGGACTGTGGAAGATGTGAGAACCGAGAGAGGAGCTGATATAGCCTCAGATCACCACTTGCTGATCACCAAAATGAAACTGAGACTAAAGAAGCACTGGACAACGGGACAGACAACACCACACAAGTTTAATAAAGCCTTTCTTCGGGATACCGTAAAACTCAAGGAATTCAAGATAGCCCTCAGCAGTAAGTTCCAGGCCTTGCAGGATCTACTCAATGGAGAGGAAACAACCTTGGAGAACGATTGGAAAGGGATCAAGGTGGCAATCACTTCAACATGTCATGAGGTTCTACGTTACAAGAAACACCATCACAAGGAATGGATCACTGCTGATGCTCTTTAAAAAATTGAAGAAAGGAGGAACAAGAGGGCAGCAATCACTGTCAGCCGCCCAACAGAAGATAAATTTAAGGCAAAAGCTGGATAGACAGAAGCAAACAGGACAGTGAGGAAGAGCATCAGATCCGACAAACAGAAATATGTAGACGATACTGTAACGACGGCGGAAAAGGCTGCAAGAGACGGAAACTTGAGACAGTTGTACGAAACAAAAAATAAGCTCGCCGGAAACCATTGTAAACCAGACCAACCAGTGAAAAGTAAGGAAGGGAAAGTAATCAGCAACACTGAACAACAGCGAAGTAGGTGGGTAGAGCACTTTCAAGAACTCCTGAATCGACCAGCTCCACTGAACACACCCAACATCGAAGCAGCATGCACGCACCTCCGAAATAATATTGGCGCACCTACAATTGAGGAGATCAGTATGACCATCAGACAAATCAAGAGTGGCAAAGCAGCAGGACCAGACAACATTCCAGCAGAGGCAATGAAAGCAGATGTAGGAGCAACTGCGAAAATATTTCACATCCTCTTCAAGAAGATTTGGGATGAAGAACAAGTAGCATCAGATTGGAAAGAAGGATATCTGATCAAAATACCAAAGAAAGGCGATCTCAACAAGTGTGAGAACTACAGAGGCATCACTCTTCTCTCATTACCAGGCAAAGTCTTCAACAGGGTATTGTTAAACAGAATGAAGGACTTCGTAGATGCCCAACTTCGGGACTAGTAGGCTTGATTTCGTAAGGATCGATCGTGTACTGACCAAATTGCTACATTACGGATCATTGTGGGACAATCGATTGAATGGAACTCACCACTCTACAAAAATTTTATTGACTACGAGAAAGCATTCGATAGCGTGGACAGGAAAACACTGTGTAGGCTTCTTCGACACTACGGTGTGCCTGAGAAAATTGTTGACATCATACGGAATTCTTGTGATGGATTCAACTGCAAAATCGTACACGAAGACAGCTAACAGACTCTTTCGAGGTGAAGACAAGTGTGAGGCAAGGTTGCTTACTCTCACCCTTTCTCTTTCTCCTGGTGATCGACTGGATTATGAAGACGTAGGCCTCTAGAGGGAAGCACAGCATCCAATAGACAGCTATAACGCAGCTGGACGATCTGGACTTCGCAGATGGCCTGGCTGTTCTATCTCACACGCTACAACAAATGCAAGAGAAGACGACCAGTGTAGCAGTAGCCTATGCAGCAGCAGATCTTAACATACGTAAAGGAAAAAGTAAGATTCTACGATACATGACAACACGCGTCAACCAAATCATTCTTGATGGAGATTCTTTGTAGGACGTTAACGTCTTTACATATCTGGGCAGCATCATTGACAACCAAGGTGGATCCGATGCTGGTGTGAGGGCGCCAATCGGCAAAGCAAGGGTTGAGTTTGTACAATTGAAAAATATCTGGAACTCCAAACAAATATCAATCAACACCAAAATAAGGGTTTTTAATAAAAATGTCAAGACAGTTCTACTATATGAAGCGGAAACTTGAAGAACCACGAAAGACATCATCCACAAGATACAAATGTTTATTAACAATTGTCCACACAAAATACGTCGGATTCGTTGGCTAGACACGATCAGCAACAACGTAGTGTGAGATAGAACAAACCAGATTGCAGTGGAAGAAGCGGTGGAAGTGGATGGGGCACACATTGCGGAAAGCACCCAACTGCACCACCAACTGCCCTCACTAGGAAACCTGAAGGCCACAGGAAAAGAGGAAGGTCAAGAAACACATTACACTGAGAAACAGAGAGAGACATGAGAAGAATGAACGAAAACTGGAAAGAACTGGAAAAGGAAGCTCATGACAGAGTTGTCTGGGGAAAACTAGTGGTGGCCTATGCTCCTTTGATGGTAATGGC